GATCCACTAGACACACGGGCGTGGTGTTTCCAAGAAACAATGCTCGCATCGCGGGTCATAGCCTTTACTACGGCAGAGCTACAGTGGACGTGTAAAGCAGTAAGGGTTGCTGAATGTCAAAGCAATCCACAACTAGTGCACCCACTATTTCCTACATCCGCTGAAGCCACGAATGCGAAGGAGACCTTGAACAACGCTAAAAGTTGGAGCCAAGTAATCGAAGAGTACACGACCCGAAAGTTGACTTTTCCAGAGGACAGGTTCCCAGCCCTGAGCGGCCTGGCAAGCAAATTTGGGAGAGCGACTGGATACACGTATATCGCAGGTGGATGGAAGGAGACTTTAATCTACGACCTGGTCTGGCAACGCGACCTTGAACCTGCAGTATTACCCTCGACCTGGATAGCTCCAAGCTTCTCGTGGGCCTGCTCGACCGGTGCTGTTAATTTTAGATTCGCACGCCACTCGTATCCCGGTTCTCGGATTGAACACACACAGCTTGTCGACTTTGATTATAAGACCACTGCCGTCGACCCATATAGTAGAGCTTTAAAGGGCTCATTGACCGTCAAAGGCCACACTCTGGCGGCGGTTTTGCGGCGGTCTCCTCAATATCTTGAAGCATATACAATCCACATGAATGACGCGGTGTACTCTCAAAACAGGGATGCGCGGGCCATTTGTGAGTTCTCTATCGATGCATCTGTACCGGACTACGACGCAACGACGATTGCTAGGGCATCGGAACAGTCACTACCTAGAACGCATGACGATGCAGGCAATCAGGAAAAAGATGAACAAATAATACTCCTGAGCTTATACTCCATCCATCACCGGAACTACCTGTACCACAACTTCCTGATCCTAAGAAAATCGCAGCATGAGGTTGAAACCTATCAAAGAATTGGCGTAGGATCGGGAAAGATGTATCGTGGAAGCGGCTGTGAAGTCGACTTCCCGAGCGAGGTGCAACATATCAGGCCGTTTGAATGGTTGTTGATCGATAGTGAGAAGAGCGGTCGCAAGTTCGGAGAGATGGTGGAACAAGTCCTGTGCATTCGATAGGTGTGTGAAATACTGTGCCACGGTCAGCAGTGTCTAAGACCAAACTCTATTCTCAAACACACGTACGTAGTTCGTCAAACTAGTTTGAAAGGGTAGCTTGACTAGTGGACTTTAAGTCCGTCTAGACAATCATAGCACACGTCTCTTCCCGTCGCGGCCCAGTTTTGGCAACCACTAGTGATGCACCTCGCGGGACGTATGGGATCCAAACATGAATGCGCATTGTCGATCATATCATCTGCGCGGGTATAGAGCCTGGTGATAGGCGCAGGTAGATGAGACAAGCTAGTGTCGTCTACTGGCGCTGGTCCCGGTTCTTGACCTCGATGCCAGTAGCTTTCATCTGCTCTAGCTTCGGCTATCTGGCGCAACTTCGATTCAAGTACAGTGGCGCGATATCTAGTCTGCTTTTTTGACGCCGAGTCAGGGACCACTTCAGCATCCGCAGACTCTGGCGTAGTGACACTGATCAATGGATTGTCATCATGGGTAATGGAAAGCAACCCAACAGCAGCTTGAACGTCCGACCCATCACTTTCGGGTAGCTCAACAACCAGCAGACCTGTACGAACGACATGGAGAAGATCCCCAAGAGCCGTTTCACCTGCGCGACACAAGCCGTCCTTTGCCATGTGCTCCATCCAGTGTTCTGCTACGCGGTGTATTCGTACAACTCTTTCGTGACTGATCTCGTAGAACATGTCGGAAGGACCAAAGTGTCCTAGATTATTGTTGTTGAATCTACAAAGCTCGTCATTATCGTACAACAGCCAGATGATAAATTCGAGGATGATACAGCCCATGCCCCAGACATCGTATAAGCGGGACCGCACGTGTGGAGTTCCTTTGGGCAGAAGCGACTGTAGGCCGGTCTCTGGTGGTTCATATCTCCTCGTACCGAACTTTGCAGTCGTGTCTAACCGACCGTATGGAAAAGCAGTTTCCTGATTGTGGGTCTTTGCCTCACCCCAGTCACCGATCTTGAAGGTGCCGTATCCACCGCTGTCAGGAAACCAGAGGATATTGCCAGGTTTTAGATCACCGTGGCTGTAAGATACCCCGTCCGGCATGTGATGAACTGTGGAGAGCGCTTTCGCAAGTCCATAGAGCTGTTCCACTACCCACTTGACTAACGAGGCCGTCCGTTCTCGTTTGTTAGCTTGATTCCAAAAGTCGCTGAGATTGCCGCCGTCCGCCCACTCGAGCAAAACATAGTATTCCGAATCCTCTAATGCACCACGCCGAAAAGATGTAATGAACCGTACAATGTGTTCTTCTCCGAGTTGGTTCATCTTGACCAACGCGTCGACTTCCCTCTTCACATCCTCGGCTCCGTTCTTGCCGCGTTTCCTGAACGCCTTGACAGCGACCACGTGAGGCTCGGTCTCGTACTATAATTCGCCGTTAGCTCATACATCCCAGTCAATCGTGGACCGTGACGTGAATTACCTGATGAAGTGAATTCTTGAAATGGGCAGGGTGAATAGTATACTTGTCTACAATACCATGTGCGCCGCGGCTTTGTTGTGTGTTCTTCATAGTGAATGGTATGGGACAGCGATCATCGAGATTGCGTTGCTGATCACGAGCTGAGATGATTGGTGTCAGAAAAATCCACTGGCTATCCTGGAATCTGATGATGGTATGAATATTCCATATGCGCATTCGGTTCTTCACTCCGTCTTTTCTCCTAAGCTTCCTTTGAACAGTCTCCATTTGCTCGAATGGATGGCACCTTGATAGATCTTGCCGCGGTCGTCCTGAATAGTATTTAACCGGCAAATCTATATCTTCATACTGAGAAACCTTGAAGAGTTCCATTGCCGCGTGAAGTTGCTCCAATCGTATATAAACTGCGATGAGAAAGACTTTCTGCGCGCTGTCCAGAATGTACTCCGCGAGTGCTCTGTCGTCTTCGTTAGGCCTGCTCGAATCTATACCCATAACTTCAAGCACTAGATTACGTCTGCAGCTCGGACCTGCTACGGTCCTTTGGAACATTTCCTCGAAGGCGTCTCGGGGTAGAAACTCTTTGCGCTCTGTTCTTTCGAACACACTGGTGCACATGGAAGAATGAAGGTTCTTCCACAGCGACTCATGAGGATCTGGCTCGGATTCGGAACTGGCGTCGGATTCTGACTCGAGAATGTCTTTAGACGTCATTCCCATTGCATACGTGTCGTCGCTTTCCATTGCCTGCTCGATATCTGCCGAAGTGTCCAGGGCGTCCTCTTGTGGTTATTATTCTTCTTCGATCGAATGGTATGGGTCGGAAACGATTATCGAGGAACTAAAAGGCTAGGGAGAAGCGAACCTGCGTACGCCAGACGTAGGCATGTAGGCACTATCGGACCTCGTGAACCGCTCTTGTGGCTCTTTCGCGCTCTGGGTGGTACTTCGCTAAGAGCAGAATGGCCTCCACCGGTTTTTGTCGTAGCGGGCCAATAGTCACAGTCGCGGGCTGCGGACATCCCGCCACGATAAAAGCCATTGCCTCACCGGTACTGTACCTAGGTAAGCGACCAGGCTATGCTCAGCGGATTGACAGGCAAAGATAAGATCCTCAGAATAACTTATACTGTCACATGCAGACGTCTACAGTAGCGCGCGCATGTTTGATATTGTGGCGGATATTAGTGTGCAGCTGTAACTTGTAAATGGGTGTCGATGAATCGAACAGAAGCCAGCAGTAAAGCAAAGTGCGGAGTCCACGGGTGGCCTGAAAACGACTCGAAGCGCGCCCGCCGCTAAACATCTCCCAACAATCCACGCAAGACAATGCAGCAATCTTCTGCTAGGGCACCAAGCTGCTCGTTATAACGACTCGTTTTATTAGCCGTAGCGTTTGGAATTCACATCTTGCGAGACGCCCTGTCGCAACGGGGTTGAGGCGGCCGGTAGCCAGCTTGGCTGCAGATAATTACTTATCAACACGTGATTGTCGCTTATCTCACAGCCGAGGCCACACCTCGCCGCCTCGACCCTTTGACTCTGCGTTACACTCTACGAACCGGACACGGCTATTTGCAAAGACAGAGCTGTAATGTGATCGATGCTGCGTGATACACTACTTCCACCCCACACTACCTAGGTATGAGATCAACCAAACAACGAATCCTTAACATACACGCCCAGCACCCTCGTCCACGTGAAATGAATCCTACTCAGCCTCATGATCTTCTTCCCAGCTGTACCATGAGAACTCTCCCGGACCTCCTCATTAACATTACCATCGTCATCCATGTCTGTGCACGTCAAATACTCTGAATTTTGAAGTCGCAACGCCGCACTAGACCCCCACTCCGAGCCTTTCCTGACATCTAGACAGATCAGTCTTTCGCCCTTTACAGACAGAACTTTCAGCACGATGAAACCGCTGGCAAGCATCGTCGATAGGTGAACGGGGATGTCGATGCTGAATCCTTCGTTGCCAGATTCAGCTCGTCTGTCGAACATGCCGTTATACGGGCCTTTGGTGATGAGCGTGGTGTCGCGCTCGTTGTGAAGTAGACTAGTCAGGATCATCTGATCGTCGTCACCCGTTACGTCGGCCATCTCTTTGATGGATTTGCACACCACGCGTCCGCGAAGGAAGTCATGCCACGGCCATTCACAAACATATCGCGATTTCGCAATCACAAGGATGAAACCAGCCAACAGCCAAGCGAAAGTTGTGATGTTGAATGGATCGACTCCCTTGAGGCGGTTTTGTACTGAGAACGGGACGGCCGTTGCTCCGCATATGAGTACGACGCAAATAAAGAGAATGGTGTAGACGTAGCGGTGGCACTTGAGCGTCACCGTGAGCTCGGATATGATCCAGTCGTTCATACGCGTCTCCGCGAGCCTCTGTTTCTCCAAATTGGCTTGGCTGAGGCTACCCGGGCCACCACCTGATGATAGAGGATCAATCTTTCCCTGTCCTGGGGGTGTTGCTAAGATGTCCTTGAAACTAGTACCAGCTTGTGATAGTCAGTATAGCCTAAACGATCCGAAAAGGTTGAAATAGCCTTACCACGTATCGCTTTACTCAAAGGGCTTTGAGACACCGACAAGACTTCAAGATCAGGTTGACGAGCAACATTGGCGAACTTGAGCTTATGCTGTCTATCTTCCCACGCTGCAGTCGTAACAACGAATTTGGCGGTAAAATGTTTCCGTTCAAACTGTAACACGGGATCTTCGTCCTCGCTGTTACCAGTTGCAAAGTCCAGCATCAGACCCATTCCAATTCCGATAAACGGATCAGTCAATGAAAGAGGAATCATGATGGAAACTATGTCGTCGAAGCGTGATGTACGGAAGACGTGGTCTTGTGATACGGAGCCGTCTTTGTATTGACAGTGGATACTTGTTTGGTCACGCGCATCGTCGCGGGGCGGTTGGCGTTCCGCTTTGAGATGTTCAAAATTCTTTCTCAAATTCTGAAAAGCAGTGTAGCTGCAGGTCACATGCGTAGCGTCCGAAGTCGCTGCCACGTCACCTCTGCGATCGCTCGATATCACCGTCAAGCTTCGTCGAAGACCCGTCTCGTATACTAGTGTGCAGACCTCGAAGCTGTTAGGCGGATTTCCAGTCTTCTCAGATGCGTACAGGGCATTAACTGCGTAGTTGAAGAGCTGTGATAGGAAGACCTGCATTCCGTAATGATCCTGAAAGTAGTAGCCTGTAATGTCGGCTTCGGCTTGCGAGTCGATGTCCATATCGTCCTTGTTATCGGCCTTCGCATCTGTAGCGCGAACCTTCAGTACCTGTAGGTTCTCTTTGGCCTCGGTATCGGTCATGCGTTCTAGTAAGTCTTCCGCGGCAGCCAGAGATAGAGAGGCGTATTGAGCCGGGTTATAGGACAGTATCTTCAGCTTCGCAGACCATTTGGCCAGGATTGCCAGGGAGTGATGGTTCCAATAATCGCCTGTTGCGGAGCGCACCATCAGTCTGGCAACATGGCTAGTGATGTAATCAACGAGTGCGAAGTATACTTTGCGGTTGTCGTCGGCGGATTCGAGTAGTTTTGGACGACGAGCCTTCACCTTTTCTTCGTCTTGTTCAAATCTGGTGGTGAGTCGTGTTCTAGCATCTTTGAAGTTCCGGACTGCTGTCGAAAGGGTAGAGATCCAACGGCAATGTTCCAGTATGTGGAGGGTATTGTCATGTATCACTATGCAAAAGTTGCATGCAATTTGATCAGCAAGATTTGAGAGATTCTCAAATGTCGTCGAGTCTGTTCGGTCGAAGGTTCCGCTACTGTCGAAGATCAGAGCGTCTTCCGAGGCCGCATCCGCTGCCAATCGTCGAATTTCCAATGTCCAGAGGTGTTTCTCGGTCTTCGTAGATATGCCGTAGTTCTTGAGATCGTCGAACTTTGGTAGCCCAGTTAAGCGCATGCCACCTTTGCTGTATTCTTCATGTTCGGTCGCTCGTTTCATGATATTCTTCTCTTGGAATGTGAATACATGGTTGCTTCTAGAGAGAGTTCCTCGTTTGCTCGGCTTTTCAGGTAACTTGTACCCAAGCTCTAGAGGCGAAGTCTGCTTTGCTCGCTCGCTACGAAGTCAGCCCTTAACATGAGTTCGTCGCGCGTGTATCTTACAAAAGCGATTGTTCTGTGCTCATGACTTCCAAAGTTCAGGTTGCGAGCCCTAGGTATCCGTGAACCAGCAACTTCGCAAACCGAAAGCTTCACAATCTACGATAGAATGTATCGGGATCGTCCCATACTAGGTCATGTGAAGGTTATGGGTGTGCTAAGCCCGAAGGCCTCATATTGGTAGAGCTGCAAGGCTCGGGGCTGAGTAGTCGCAACCATGCACGTAAGCTCGAACCCCAGTAATAACCCGCAGTCTGGCTCCGTGGTCTAGACTCTTAAGGTTCAAAATCGGCCATTCGAGAGTCAGGCTACGCATCAGAGTGTTTGTAATCTGCTCGTTGAGCGACGAGGCTGCATGACGCTAACCCATCTCGGCACGGGCTGACGAAGATCCTGTTCTGCAGGACGATTCTGCCTTGCAGCTCAGCTGCTGATATACAGCAAGAAGGCGAAACTTATTCGTCCGTCTTACTAAGGCCTGAATCGGTCTTTACGATAGGCTGCTTTGCAATTGATGACCTTGAACGAGACAAGGCTGCGTTGATCGGAAATCTTTCGATGCATCTTCATGATGACGTGTTTAGAAATATGAGCTGCGCCTCGATGTTTTGTGCATGATTTGAATACGTGGAAGTTACGATTGGTACCTTTGTTGCTCAGCCGCAATCGAGTTTGTGCAGAATACCTAGGCAGGTGGTAACCCTAACATGCTACCAGGCACCATCTGAAGCTCAAGTTTGTGGAATAATTTGACACCTACAGCATACTCTGTCATCACCATCTGAGAGGCAGAATACTATCCCATGTCGGTGGAAGATTACAGCGCTGCACGCCGGGGGATCCTCCAGGATGTTGCCAATGTCTCGACTACGACTACGCAACCAGTTTTGGCACATGAGGAGGAGACTTTCGATTTCAAGGTTGATCTGGTGGATATTCGCGAGAAAGAACAATGGGGAGATACGCCATTGATCACCCTAACCCCCAATCGGCATCAAGCTAAATCCGGCGTAGCGGCGAGATATGAGGATTATATCCTAGTACTGCGGAGAAGGTTTGACATAATGGGCGAGAGGGTATCGATAGATCTCGAAGTTCGATCACCTCATATACTGAGAGCCTTTCGCAATGTCTTGGGAGATCATCCCTCGATGAACTTCGATTCTGCTTTGGTCGCTATCTCTAAGCCGTACGCGCCGCTGTTCCATTACCGCAAGGAGCTTCGGAGCTATGCTTCCGACGACTCAAGGACCGTGGTCGAGAAAGAGCACTTGGATGTGCTAATCAAGTTCATGGACAAGAATCTCTCGCAGACCGAACGTGATTACGGACATTCTGAACCGTACCGAATGGTCTCTTATCCTCTACTCTGGACGCTGTTTAGGCCGGAAGAGGTGATCATTGCTCAAGGCGACCACTTCGACGAATGCTACACAGTCGATACTTGCGAATACGTGCCAGAAGTTCGCCAAGGCACCGATGACGACCTGACGCCGTATTTCAAGATCGAGGCCAAGAGATGGGACTACAATGGTACACGTTTCGGTATGTGTGGGGAGAAACTCAAGATCAGGGAATTTCCTACCCCGGTCAAAATCGATACCTTGATGGTGTATCCCATACGGTTTCACAAGAAAGAAGACACGGAAAGCCTTAAAAAACGGCTGATACAACGAGGACGGAAGTGGAGAGAGATCTTGGAAAAGACCCACATGCATTATAATGGTCAGTATTCGACTGGGCCGTTTGGTATTAGCTAACGGCCTAAGCAGCATTGGCTTGGTCGGAGCCTCCTCATGAGCCTATCACACACGTGGACAAGTTGATACCAGGTCATGTAAGTGTGGCACCAAGGCTTTGACCATTATTAACATACTCAGGTGTCAGGGCGGATCATGTTAGACTACGAGACGCACGCACAAGCTACGCCCCGTCTTGCGACGTTCCTTTCGACATCTGGCGCCACAATGGACTACAACGATAAATACACAGTCAAAAGAGACTATGACATGATCGGGGACCACAGCATGGCGCGCAAGGCCAGTGAGAAGGAAGACAGATTCATGTCTCATCTCAGGACTCCAGCTTACAGGATATCTGATGACCAAGCCCTTCTAACTCCTGCTAGAGTAAGAGGATACTCGTTTGTAGAGAAGATATGGGCTTTCTTTTTGGTCGAAGAGGTACGGGATATTGAATGGCACCCAGATGCATTTGATAGCCTCGAATTGGATGCCAGAATGAAGACTGCAATCCTCGCTATGGTTTCAGCGCATCAGAACCAAGATGACTTCGATGTAAGTAAGTTCTGTTTGATGTGTCCAAATCGATGCTGACATGAGGAGGACATCGTGCCAGGGAAAGGCAAAGGCCTTGTCTTCCTGCTTTACGGCAAGCCAGGGCTCGGCAAGACCCTCACAGCAGGTACGTGACAGCGTGAGCGATGTCGGAACATTGAGCTAACGGTATCAAGAGGCCGTAGCTGAGCATAAGAAATGTCCCATGTATTCCATAACCAGTGGCGAGTTGGGCACAGACATTGAGAAGACAGATGTGCAACTTCGTACGATATTCACCCGAGCAAAGGCGTGGAACGCCATCATATTGCTCGATGAAGCAGACGTGTTTCTGGCTCAAAGGACCGCAACCGATCTCAAGCGAAACGCTTATGTTTCAGGTAAGCCTCCAGCGAGAACTAAACTTCAACGAACGAATCGGCCTTTCGAAGTCCCTGGCGGCTAACAACTCGCAAAGTTTTTCTTCGCCTCATCGAATACTACAAGGGCACCATGTTCCTGACGACAAACCGTCTCGAAGACTTTGACACGGCATTTGAATCTCGGATTCATCTGACTATCCGATACGAAGCGCTCGACAGCATTCGTCGTACTAACATCTGGAGAAACTTTCTGAAGAAAGTCGGGTCTGGACGTTGGGACGAGGCGACATTGTCGCGTCTCGGAACCGAGTAAGCAGTACCTGCAGATACTACGTGGCGTTGCTGATACCTAACAATAGGTACGAACTGAATGGCCGACAGATAAAGAATCTGCTTAGGACTGCTCTTGCGATTTCAAAATATGACAAGGTAGAGCTTTCGGAGGAGCTGATCAGGAGAGTGTTGGACCTTTCAAGGGAGCATTTGCTTGAGCATCGTTCGACATCACAACAATCGCAGCGCGAACCATGACTGTGTTCTAGTCTGGCTTCCGGTGTTAATGGCGCATTCTCCTTTTCTCCTTTTGTCGTGGTTTCCGTGTTGGTAGTAATGTATTGCAGAACGACGACAGTTTGCTTTTCGCGACACTGTTGCATGTGAACGTTAGCGATTAGGCGCGCATGCGCGACAACATGGCATAGTAACATGCAACCGTCAAAGCGTCGGGCGGGAATAGAGGGCATTGGGGAATGTAAGAAGGCAGCGACATGTCAGGCCAAGGCAACTCAAACAGCAGGGGATGGTTGGGCACTTGTGGTGCAGGCGGCCAGGCGGGACACCTCCGGGGCTCCCGCAACATCGCGCAGCCGCGCACCTAGCCCGCCCCGATAAACCTCACGAAGCATCCGCACAAGTCCAGACTGAAGAAGCACACGTACAATCCAAGAAACACACTTACTTAGTCCCCAAAAGCACCATCTAAATAGCGTATCCCTAGTGTCCAGCATTTTCCGCCTCGCATAACACACTTGCGCGGTCCACGGGTCGCTGCCACCCCAAAACCACGGACCCAAATCCTCCAAACACCCTTCCAACAAAAAAACAACATTCAATTCCCCATGTACATAATACACTTCTTATGCACCCTTAGACTACAAGCCCTCTGCGTCTAGTTCCCGTAGCTTCCGCGGTCTATTTCCAAACCCGCGGACCTAACCGAGCCACCAAGACGACTTTATTGTAAAAAACAACATTTGACATATCGCATACACTTCGCATGCACCCCCCAAGACTACTCCAATACTATCCACAATGCCTAGCTTCCGCGACATGCAAAAAGCATGTATATAATCACTAATCACGTATTCATGCCATGCATGCCATCCACCAGGACTATGGGCAGTCTCGGGGAAGTAGGAACAGCAAAAAGAAAGCTCTCCAGCGGGGAATTGAACCCCGGTCTCCCGCGAGTTGTCTTTTGCAAGATGACAAGCGGAAATACTGACCACTATACTACTGAAGATTGATCAACTTGATAGTTGAGTAGGTGGTTGATGGCAAAATTCAAAATTTGTGCATATATAATGTAGCAATTGTGGCTTCAATGCCGTAAGCTGCTGGTTTTGTCCTGGCTATGTATTGGGTTGAGGTTTGTTGGAGATGTTGGTTAGGCAGTGAAAATCCGTATGGTGGGGTATTCGGGTTGCAGCGGCGATTGGATCCGAGTCAGCGATTGACCCATGCAAGAGCAGATTGTCACGCATCTTCACAATAACAGACTCATCACACTGTACGCATGGCATGCACATAGATTGTTTGTTCAACACTTAGATTTATATCTATTCTGCCTTTATATCACCGCATTCTCAGGGCGCGCATCTAAAACTCCATGCTGCCCATACCAAGACCCCTCCTGTAAATAGTGCCAGTACCAGTGAAGTTACCAGTCTGCGTAACAAAGTTCTCAGTGCTGCTAAAGTCCTTGATATGACCAAGAAGAATCTCCAACATGCGGTACGCAACACCGGGCGTGTAACCAGGCAGCTCGTGACCAGCAAGACGGGCAGTGTAGAACATCATACCGCGCTCCGCAGTCCAGTAGCCCTGGTAGCCAGCACCCGCAAGCGCACCACCGTTGTACTCAGGGTGGTAAGGCGCGTACAGAGGGGTGGTGGGGTACTCGGAGAGACCCTGGGCGCCGTTCCAGGTCATGTTCTGGATGGCGAAGAGGGTTCCGTTTGTGCTGAGGAGCATGTCGAGGTCGCCGGAACCGATGATGGTGTTGTTGGTGTACTCGATGACGCGCTGGAGGACGCCGTTGTTGGCGGGGCCGGGGGATTGGTCAGAACCTTCGTCGTCGCCGTTACCGAAGACGTTGGTGTTGGTGCACTGGAGCCACTCGGTGCTGACGTTGGCGTGGAGTGCCATCTTGACGTCGGTGCGGTTGAAGTAGATCTCGGCGCCTGGGGGCGAGTAGTCGCCGGTGTTGACTATGCCGAGCTGGGAGTATGGGTGCGGGCATGTCTCGGTGATGTGGTAGATGTTGAAGCAGGGGTTCACCTCGAGGATGGCGGAGTAGAAGTTGTCGAACTGGTCGCACGTGTAGTTCTCCGAGCTGTATGGGTCGGGGAGAACGGGGAAAGCGCCCTGTGGTGGGGGGAAGGTGAAGTACTTGTCCATGTAGTCGGTGTAACCGCACTCCTTGTGGTGCTGGGTGATCTGCTCCATGAACGTGTCGTTCAGGAAGAGCAGGTTCTGCCAGAAGTTGACGAATGGGAGGAGGACAACCTGCTGCTGGATCGTCTCGTCACCAATGATGGGGTCGTTGATGGAGATACCGGCAAGGTTGAAGTACTTGTCATCATCGGCAGTGATGAAGCTGTCGGCAATGTAGGGGACGTAGTAACCAGCGTATGACTCTCCGGTGATGTAGGTCTTCCAGTTGTATAGTCCGAAGAGGTCAATGAAGCTCTTGTAGAAACCACGGAACTGGTTGCCGAGCTCAACCTCGTCGGTGATGTTGGGGGTACCTTGCGAGTAGCCAACACCTACGGGCTGCTCAACCCAGAGCATGTTGGTGAGGTTGGTCCATGAGTAGGGGTTCTGGACTGGGGCGAGGGTGCCAGATTCCCAGGTGAACGGGCCGTTCTCCGTAAGGAAGCCGCTGAGCGAAGAGCATCCTGGGCCACCGTTGAGCCAGATGACAACCTCCTCAGGGGTTTGAGCCTGAGTGGAAGGGAAGAACCAGAAGAAGAGCTTTCGCGTCTCCTCTGGGTCATCCGAGATGGGCAGCAGACCAGCGTAGCTCTCGCCAATGTCAAAAGGAACCTCTGGAATACCAGTACCGTTGACAGCGAAGGCTATTGGCTTATTAGTCTGATGTATGACAGTATGACAATAAATACTAACACTCAGTCTTGTTGGTCAAGAAGAAGCTCTCGGCACGCCTCTGGATCTCGGGATGCTTGAAAGCCTCTCCCGGCATGCGCCTCTCGACAGCAGGCCTGACCTTCTCAAACACACCACGCTTGTGTGGCGAGCTTCCAGCAAGGGCTGTAGAAGCACACAGCAAAGAACCAACCACTGAAAGGAGCTTCATCTTGGAATTGACTGATGAAAGCGGCTGTGAGCTGGCACGAAAGAACCGGGCCCAAGGCGAGTATTTGAACGTTTGCTACGTGACGGCATTGCGGTATACAAACCCTTGCGCTTACCCCGGAAGAGCAGGAGGTTGGCGGAGGCACCAGCAAGGCTCGGTAATAAACCTCGCAAACGCCACTTTCCGGGTCGTGCAGGGCATACTATCGCGTTGAGATTCGTAGCCGAAGGGCGAGCACCAACGAGGTATGCGAGATGACGCAGTGCAAACAGAAGCACCACCTTAGGCACCTTCCTGAAGCAGGACTATACGAAGATTAGACCGAGACTTTTGCATGATGTTTGGCGTTGATTCGCCGCGGCTCTGTTTAGCGCATTCATTGTGCCCAGACCAGCTCAGAGTGTAAGCCTCGGAAGCGGATGCTTGTCGAGGCTTGGTCAAGCTGGTGGATCGACGGACGATAGCACGGCTACCGTAGGTACATGGACGACGACAAGCGGCATTTTGTTGGTATGTCTTCGTAATGCGAGTTACGAAAGATTCATGTTGCTATCGCATAGCGGTGACCGTGATGGTGACGGTGTTGGTACCGCGCCGCGTGGGCGCGTCATCAGGCCCAAGTTCAACCCGACGAGGCGGGCCGAAGCTTGTTAAACTTCAGGGTACTGTTGAGGCGGGGAAATGAGAAGTCAGCAACACGAGTTACGGAACTCAAGGTCAAACGTCATGGGCCGAATGGAAAGTGTAAGTGTTGCGCGTTTTTGAGGTTGTTAATATGAGAAGGGCCACGCGGGCGAACCGAACGATTGCTGACGGTCGCGTGTGCACTGTGCGGTCGTGGCGGTGTTGCCCGGCAAGGCTACCTAGGTATGCTACACAGCCAGTCCTTCTTGTAGCTATCCCTTCATCGTCGGTACCCGAACGCCAACTCTAGCTTGTCGAAGTTGGAACGATGCGCATCGTAATTGGCGATCAACAGAAGGTCTGAAGGCGCCGGAACTGGCATGATGTCGTTGCCCAAGACATGTAGTGGCCTTTGACATGCGGTCGCACCTCGTGAGGCGTCGGCCTTGAGCAACGCCGCCATGCGCCACCACGCGCCAACAGCCGTCCCCATCTGACTACATGCGGGTCGGAAAGCTTGGTTTCTATCTGGCTTGTCTATCCTGACAGCTTGTTCTAATTGTCCACAGGTCGCAGGAAGTTCATATCATCGAGTAGTTCTCTGGCATCCTCTGCCTTGTCCTCTTCCTGCTTGTCTGCGCCCACACCGATGCTCAGATCTACCAGTCCGTCTGCAGGCGGCGAGAACTGGCGCAGCTTGACGCCGCTCTCCGTAAAGATCTTGGCCGTCTGGTCATCCACGAGGTAGCCTTGGTTATAGACGACCTCGCTGATACCAACTTGTGTTATCTTGACGCTGCAGGTCAAGCAGGGGCATGTGTTGCAGTATAGGATGGCGTTCTCGCCGATGCGGTCGCGGCCGGCTTCGAGGAGGGCGTTTTCTTCGGCGTGCAGGCAGAGGCAGGTGGAGAGGCCAACACCTCCCTGTGCGGCGTTGTTACAACGGGGGCCTGTATGTTGTTAGTCTATGTCGTGGGGATTCCCGAGTATGAACGTACATCCACCCTCGTTGCAGTTGGTCATGCCACGTGGGGTACCGTTGTACCCGGTGCTAATCACACGCTTCTCCCGTACTATGCAGCAACCGACTCGTCGCTTCATGCAGTTGCTCCTGCGCGCTGCCAGGTCTGCCAACTGCATAAAGTATTGATCCCAGCTTGGCCGTACACGGGCCTCGTCCATGAGGTCCAGGAACAGGATGGCACTGCGCAGGGAAGCCATGTCGGACGACGAGTTGAGTAGCTTCAGCTGTGCTCTCTGACAGAGGGCGCTTAGGCCTGTTCTGGGAGCAAACAAGTGCTTGTCATTGCGTAGAACGAACTCCTCGAGGGTAGGCGGTGTGTGGTCAGTGGCAGCACATCGGGCCTTGAACCGCTGCCATCGCACACTGACAGGCGCATCCACGCTGACAAGGAGGAAGAAAGGACGCCTGAGGAGGGCATCAACGACCGTTTCGTCCCATATGTCCGTTGTAACGAATCGTTCTCTCCATCTCAGCGTGACGAAGTCGAGTAGCGAGTCGATGTTCGGGAAGGTATGCTGTGCGTCTACGGACGACTTGACCGGCGAAGGAACACGTGTGTTGGAAGCTGACTTCTCTTCTGGAGGCGTCTCAGCAGTTCGGGCCAGGCGTAGGCGGGTGAACTGGTGCTCCTCAACGAGGTACGAAGCTATCGACGACTTGCCCGCGCATATTCCTGTGCCCTGTCAGCCTCGTCTCATGTGATCTCGGACGGTGCTTGCCTCCGCACAATCCAATAAGCATAGCGATAGATGTCGTCTAGATGTGCTGTATCCCGGGAACATCAAGGGCGGAGTCGTGGATCGAATCTCGGATTGCTAACAGCGGCTAGGCGCGTGGTCGGCTGCAGGAACGCGTCTAGCGTGGCGGGGCCTCGCCCAGGGCCTCAGGGCTGGACCCATGACGGCGCGCGGGGTGAAGCGTGCGGCTGCCTCAGTATCACTGGGACATTCACTGTCACATGCAGCCGCCCTTGACAGCTGCACGTGTATTGCTTTTGCGTATGACTGCCATCATCATCGCCTGCTAGGACACATCCCCTGCATACTACATCTCCGCCTCGCCACGCATCCTCACTCCGTCTCATCGCAACCCCACCATCTGCTATTACCGCCCACCATGTCCACCCTCAAGTTTGCGCCCTGGCTGAGTGATGTCGACGTCCAGTTCTATGCCGCTCTCGCACACATCAAAATCAACCATGACAAACTCGACGACTCTGCGCGCAAGGTGCTCGGGCTGTACGAAGTCCGTCCTGGGGAGCACTCGTCGCGATCTATGCGAGTACAGATACACCCGAATGCGCTGACCTCAGACGATACCCCTCCCACTTTCTGCCGCGCCGAAGGCATCATAAAGAACTGCAACACCATAGAAGACTACAAAAGTCTCGATCGCGCCGCCATACTCGAGCGATGCGCCCAAACAGTACGTCCATCATCTCCCTCTGCGATGAAAACTGACGCGGCATAGATATGGGACGCCATCCACGACGGCTCGATATACGAATGCCCCTCTCTCCTCTCCTCCTTCACAGCCATCATCTTCGCCAACCTCAAGAAGTACAAGTTCACATACCACTTTGGCTTCCCCGCCATACAGTCAGATCCACCGTGGAAGCAGATTGGGGAGGCGACAAGGCTACACTCTAGGGAGACTACATACTTGGTAGACGCGGTGCAGACGTGGCGATACAGCTCAGACGTCCGCCAAAGAGGCTTCTTCCTAGCCAAGCGCATACAAGGTGGCGGAGATCCAGAGGAGAGGCCAAAAACACCCGTCTCACCCTTGGAAGAATTTGGATACACATGGTCCATAGGCAGACTGGAGGCCTACGAGAAGGGCTTCTTCGACAAGGTGGATAGCAAAGATCGCTTCATATGTTTCGCCGACCCCTCCACATACGAGACCAACCCAGGCTGGCCCCTTCGCAACTTGCTCGTGCTGATGCGAAATCGGTGGCACTTGAACGACGCTCAAATCATGTGTTATCGCGACACTCACACACGACGTGATCACTCCAACTCGTTGATCCTGCAGCTACGGTCAGACCCAATACCCGAGGCAGCGCCCACCTCCGAAACACCAGACACTCGCCCACAGACACCCAAGTTACCCAAAGTAACCGGCTGGGAGCGGACAGAATCAGGCAAGCTGACATCGCGCAACGTGGACCTCTCCGAATACATGGACGAGCGCAAACTAGCAGATCAGGCTGTGGACCTCAACCTCAAGCTGATCAAGTGGCGGATAGCGCCTACCATCGACCTGGACGTCATCAAGAACTGCAAGTGTCTGTTGCTCGGAGCGGGAACATTAGGCACCTACGTCTCAAGAACGCTGATGGGATGGGGTGTAAGAAAGATCACATTCATCGACAACGCCACAGTCAGCTTCTCCAACCCCGTACGACAGCCTCTCTTCAACTTCAACGACTGTTTACAAGGCGGCGCAAAGAAGGCCGAAAGAGCGGCAGAGGCTCTGCAAGAGATATACCCAGGTGTCGACGCTCAAGGGCACGTCATGGAGGTACCGATGCTGGGTCACCCAATGACCGATAGCACGAAGACAAAAGCCGAGTTTGAGAAGCTACAGAAGCTTATCAGCGAACACGACGCCATCTTCCTGCTCATGGACACACGAGAGAGTAGATGGCTGCCAACCGTCATGGGCAAAGCCTACGGGAAGATCGTCCTCAACGCCGCACTAGGCTTCGATACCTACGTAGTCATGCGCCACGGCTTGAAGACAACGCAAGAAGGAAGGGGAGAAGTAGAACTAGGATGCTATTTCTGCAACGACGTCGTCGCACCCGCAGACGTAAGTACCCATCCACACTCCCCTCTAATCACTTCACCCAGCTAACTGCCCACACAACAGTCCCTAAGCAACGCAACCCTCGACCAACAATGCACCGTAACCCGCCCCGGCGTCGCCCCCCTCGCCTCCTCACTCCTCGTCGAACTCCTCATGTCCATCCTCCAACACCCCTCCCAAGCCCGCGCAGCACCCCCCTCCGTCCAACCCAAAAACAACACTGCCCCCACACCCGCACCCTCACACCCCGCTCTCCCACCACCCTTCCAACACCCCCTCGGTACAATACCCCACACAATACGCGGCTACCTCTCCACCTTCTCGAACCTGCAAGTCGAAGGCAAACCCTACGACTGCTGCTCAGCGTGTAGCGATAGGGTGCTTGAGGCGTACAATAAGGATCCGTGGGAGTTTGTTGCCAGGGCGTTGAATGAGCGGGGGTGGGTCGAGGAGATGAGTGGGTTGAAGGAGGTGCAGAGGAAGGCGGATGAAGCGGCGGCGGATATGGATTTCGAGGAGGAAGAGGATGAAGGGGGGTTGGATGAGGAGGGGGAATTGCTATGATGTGTTGGGATGAGAGGAGAAGAGGTGGATTCAACATCAGCGCTTTTCCTTTGTAGTAAAATACCCTGTTATCGTGTATATGTAATTTTCGAAATGTGCATAAAGAAACTTGAATAGCAAAGATGTAACTGCATTGATACCAGCAAAACTACAAAATACCGGGCATATACCATACCAAGTAGCCAACCGAACGACAAAACCACCCAAAGGCCTCCCAATCTGATCCAAGCCCATCCAATTACCCACCCCCATGTCATGCATATCCACCCTTACGTGTATCCAAAGAGTCCCCTCGCCATATCCCTGTCGCGATACATATATCTCTACATAACAGTATGGTCACAAGAACGCAGGCGTATCCTCCCTAACCAAAACCAACCCGCCCCTCAGACTCTGCTTCCCCGCGCTTCCACCCGGCGACAATGCGTTCTCACTCTTTCTCTGCCTTAAGAACTTGTCGGCCATTCGCTGGCCAGGCGTTACATTGCCATCCCTGCATCCGTTCCCAGGGCTTTCACCGCCAAGCACACTTTCAATACCCCTCCCAACAGAAACTCTGGTCTCGGGATACGGTTCCTTGGTCATGGCCAAGGAACTGGTCGAAGTCTTCAGCGTCAGCGCTGGGCGGCGGAGCTCTGAGCCAGGAAGTGGGGAGTATTGATCCAGATCGATGACGGCGGGACGACCTGTGTTGTTGGTGCCGCGGAGGTCGAAGGCGCTTCGTGGTCTACGAGCGAGCTTTTCGGGAGACATGGGCCGTAACGTTGCGCGAATACGGGGACGGAGGGGCGTTGTCATTTCTGCTGGACTAGCATTCTTCTTTGCCGATGGTGTTTCAAGGGTATGAACGTTGGTGCTGGGTGAGTTACGGCGGGGCGTACACAGTAGTTGCTGGGAGTTTGGTCGCGTTGATAGACCTAGCGGGGAGATAGCGGAGCTTTTGTGACTGCGGAGGGACGGAGGGGTGACATTCTCCTTCCGCGCGGGGCTCCTCTTCAGGGTGGTGATTGGTATGCGCTGTGTGGTTTCGTTCGTGGCTGGGGCAGATGTATTGGTGGTAGCTTTGGGATCAGGCGTGGACTTGGGCGAGGGTTGGGATCTGCCTGGCGCATTTGTCTCGGTGGCCAATCCAAGGACGTTACTACTGGAGCGTCGACCAGTATCAAGGAAGGAGAATCGGTCATTTCTTGGAGGCAATTCTGGTGTTTCAAGAGGCGGGCGCGATCCAGGTGCGTGGCCTTCGGGTGTTGACAGTAGATGCTGCCTGTTCGAAAGAGACCTTGATTCGGGCTGAGAGTTTTTGATGAGTTTCTCAGTATCACCAATCTGTCGGAGTGAGGTATGATTGCCGTCGCGAGTGCTGATGTGCGACGAAGACTTCTCCGCGTCTGACTTCGCAGCACGTGCGCCATCGTCACCGCGACGCTTAAGATCTTCTGCGCGAGTAACAGTCAATTCAGTTTTCTCATTTGTATCCTCGGCATGCGGTCGCGGCGTGGGAATATCGAGCGATCCCCTAAGAACCACCGTCGTGTCTTCGTGTTCTGTGTGTGATGTATGGCTCGAATCCGGTCTAAGTTTCTTTGATGGAGTGGTATACCGATCATGAATCCTCAGATCTTCTTGACTAGTGAGCTCCATACCAGAGATCTCATGCGACAGCCAAGCTCTCCAGTCACGACTAGTTCGAGTAGGTTCGCGCCGATGAGGAGAAGGTGTGCCTACAACGTAGCTTCTAATCGACCGACTAGTTGAAACGACTGCTGAGCCGCCGTCCTGAGATTGCTCAACCTCACCAGGCCCTCCGAAAGACATGACACTGTCATTAGGAAGGATGCTGACGCCATCTGTGTTTCGTGAATAGATACTGGGAGACATTGGCGTCATGGCAGTGTGAGAAGCTGGTGACACGGATACTCTAGGCGAAACAGGCAGTCTTCGTGGGAATTGACCAGCCATGCCACGAGCGCCCGGCGCAACTTCTTTGTCATCTTGTACAGCCGGTTTCGTGAAGTCATCATTCCGTTGAACAAACGATGCGACATCGTAAGTTCTGCCAGTTTCACGCGGGAACTGGACGTGCTCTGCCCCGTCCAGAGGAGTCTTCCAACGGTCTTTAGCTCTCTCTACACGCTTCTCAATTTGCGATGCCGTTGGAGTAAACATCTGGACGGCGCAATTGCGCTCAGCTCCATCACTATCGGTCTGTGTATCATCAGACTCAGGCGTGCTGCCCGACGAAGGCATCGTTTCCTCTCTTCGATGCACTCCTTTCGTGCCATCGACACGACTGGTAGGGCCTGGATCAGGAGATGAATGTTGTCCGATGGGTGTGACTGTGCGGATGGTGGATCTGATCGCCCGTCCAAAAGATCTGATCGTGCTGGTCTTGCTCTGAGTGCTTTGGGATGTGGCCGGTCGTCGTGATGGTGGTCGCTGTTCTAGATCGATACTGCTGCGAAGGTTTCGACTTCCACTGGAATGCAACTCTCGTGTATGAGAGAACAGCTTGGTAGTACTGGACTCAAAAACATCGCTTTCTGCGCCCGGTGTTCGTTTGGCAGGGCTTGAAGACTTTTGTGATTTTGACGATCCTATCTCTTTCATCAATGCAGAAAAGACGCGTTTGGGATCGACAGGCGTCAGTGACTCTTCAGTGAGGATCTCCATGGGCATGGGATCGCGGAAAGCGGCGAGAGGTGGGAGTGGCAGAGACTTCCTTCTCGAAGCACTTGCAGATGCCGCACGGTCTGCCTCGCTCCCAATGCTATCTTTAGACTCATGGATAACGGTCATTCGCTTCATGGCACGTTGTGTCAGCGTGTCGCTGGTGGTAGTAGTCCCCCAACTTGTAACTCGAGAAGCTGATACGTTTGCAGCATTAGCTTCGCTATGAAGACTCCGATTGCTTCGTGCACTTCCGGTGCTGTTGCTTCTGGATCCAGATCGTAGAAATGCGGGGTAAGCGCCTTCAAGTGACGGTGTCCGAGCACGAATGCGTTTCAATGTTTCTTCGTTAGGCGGAGGAATACTCAGTCCGTCTTTCGCGGTGGGTGGACTGTAGTGCGCAGTATGGAAGTAGTCGCGGCTGGCATCGATCTGCTGGACAGGAAGATTGGTGGACTTGCCCGACGTGCGCCGGAAGACCTTCTTAATTTTGCTTTTGAGGGACCCGGAGAACGACCTCTTTTCCTTGATCTCCTGGGGTGGCACGAAGTCGCTCAAGGTAAGATCCGCCGTCAACTCGTCGGGTGTTTGCTGATAATCTGTAGAGAAAGATTGCGCTTCCGACGCGACACGCTTGCCCTTGTCCTTCCCTTTGTCTTGTCGTTTCTTGAAGGGCGCTAGAAACATCGACGGCTTGTGCTTCACCGCCTTCTGCTGAAAGTCTTGTAGATACTCATCTCGTACTTTGTCAAGCGTAGTGTCAGGTCCGACTGTGACCGGCATACGCGGGCCTGCCAGTGGTGACGGCCGAATCGTTCGAGAGGGTAGAGGTATTGGCGAGGGTTCTGATGCCGGGCTGATGCTTGCCACAGGTGGTGTTGTAAGATACTTGGACGGCGGCCGAGCAATCGGTGATCCCGTCTGAACACTGCTTGCGTAGTACATGGAACGCGCTTTCCGTATCTGCTGCGAGGTAATCGAGGACGAAGCACTCTGTCGAAATGACTTTGGCTGGGAACTCGGTCTAACATTCTCGCTGAACGTGATCGAAGGCTGCGTCGATAGATACCGCGGTATGGAAAGCGACCCATGGACGCTGGGAGTAGGATAGAAGGGCGGAAATTGCTCTGTGTTCTGTTCCGTAGAGTCTGCTGAAGCCTGTGACAGGCGTTGTGCACTTCTCGTCTGCTCGGCAGTCGGACGCTGCAAAGACCGGAAACTCGAGTCGCGAGGTGGAAAGTGGCTGCCCTGGGAGGTGAGAGACTTGCGGCTGGCGTTGCTCTTCGATCTCGCTAGCTCGACACTACGTTTTGCGTTACGGTCTGCCGCATCTTGAGCCTGCGCACGAGCAAAGGCTGCAGTGGCTGCAGCTAGGGCCTGCTGTTTGATCGCATCTAGATCCAGCGGTTCGGCGATGGAAGTGGGACGTTTGTGGACGGTCGAGGCAGACTTAGACCGGCGGAGTCGAGTACCTGCATCGCTATTCGCACGAGCAAGCATCGGAGTGGCAGGATAAAACTGTGGTTGCTGGAGTAGTGCGGTAAGAGGGTGCGGCCAACTTAGCGAAGCAGTGCTAAAGACGTGTTGACGGCATGTAGCAGAAACAGCGGTAATGAAGCACGGCCAACGGAATGGTATGAGGGGTGATGCATTCGGACATGTGGGAAGAAAGACACAACAGCCAAATGTTGTTGCGGCAGTTGCAGTCTTGTACGTCACTGCCTATGCTGTGGAAGAAGCGGCGACTTGAGGCCTCGCATGGCAGGAGATACCACTGTCTCTGGAACGCGCCTTCCCGGGAAAATATTACCATTTTGATAAGATGGCATGTGCCCCACATTGGAAAGAAAGCCTTCGCAATCGGGCATGAGAAGTCAAATTGTCCGCCTGTATATTGTGATCATGGCAGGTCTCTATGCCTGGCGAGTTCCTCGTGGTCCAGCGCACTCGTGCGTATCTCTTCCTCGTCCTCGTCATGCACTGGCACATAAGACGGTTCTTTATCCCCCACGTCAATATAGTTCGTTACGATAGTCATGAACGCGAATACCACAACGGAGATCAAGAAAGGCAAACCAAGCCAGGCGCCGCCAAGACCAATACCCACCTGGAACAGCTCGCTCAGCAGTGGGCCCGCGATCATGGCGCCAATACTTTCTGCAATCGCAATGGTGCTCATGAGTTTGCCAATATCAGGACTCGACTGACCGCCCACAACATGAATGGAAACAGATCGCATTGCAGCGGTGTAGCCAGTTCCCATGTTGTAAATGAGAAGCCCAATGATCAGAAGTGAAGGATGCGCGGCAATACCCATGACGAAGAAGGCAATGGTAGTAAAAGCTATGGATCCGCGTGCGATCCAGAGATCGGCCCAGTGTGCAGGGAATCGCAGCTTCTTCAAGAGGAAGAAGTTTGCTAGTGGGATCAAGATAGTGACAGCCACCAAGTTGGTGGCTGCGCGGAATGAGAGCAAGTAGGCGGCCTTCTTGATCTCCCAGTTGTAACGCTTTGAAGCATAACGGACCAAGAGCGAGATGCACTGTCTGCCCAGTCTATTGGCCAAGAACGTAAGGACGACCAAGCTCAAGGTCCAATCGCTCCTCAGGAAGTGCACTGCATCCTGGAAGTTGCGGAGTTGTGCTCGCAGCGAAAAGTGGCTGGTTGTAGGCGTGGGCTGTAGCTCGAAGACCTGGTCTCCGCTGTCCTTGGGTTCAGGCAGATCGCGCAGGTGCAGCGTCTCGGGGACGAACAAAGCCACAACAACCCCCATAAGCTGTATCGCTAGTGACAATAGCAGAGGCAGCCAGTTCCCGCTCTCCATCAGCCTCGCTGCCATTATCGGTGCCAGCATTTCTGCAACAAGGACACAGGCCGTCAGGTATAGGAAGACCGTCGTTCGCTTTTCTGGAGGTACGATGTCGGAGATCATCGTTACACCGATAGCCATGGCTACGATTGGACCGCCGCCGATGATCGTGAAGGCGCTCGAGAACCACGTCAGCTGTAAAGGGAGAGAATTGAAGTAGGCTACCCATACGTTAGCATATGTACAAGATTCGTGCAATGCCGTCTTACTTATTATCATCACCCAGACGAAGGCAAGGTCCAACCCGACCAAGCTTGCTGTGACGATCCACTTCCGCCCTACTTTGTCTGCCCAAGTGCCATATGGTACAGCCAAAAGAATGCCCGGTATCGCGCTGAACATGTCCTGCCAGCCAAAAATGGTGGCGAGTCTCTGCTGCACCACATCCACCTTGCACAGCTGCTCTGGTATGCTTCCGTCGCCATCGATCACCGAAGGGTCTTGTTCGCGGTAGTACTTGAGACATAGATTCTCCTCAAATAGACGTGTCAGAGGTGGCTCGGCAAGGTAGGCACCCACATCGACGACTGCGACGATGATGAAGATGAGCACTACGAGGAGTACCCATGGCTTCTTGGTCGATTTGTGCGGTGGAAGAAAGTCCGGTTCTGTCGGGGTTAAGAGGGTCTCGTCTTCTTCGAGGGATTCTCGTGGTAGATCCAAGTGTAATGCCATTGCGATAGCTCGTCAACGTACGGCGGGAGGAACGAAGGGGGGCGGGTATGTGGCTGACGCGCATGCCAATGGCGCGACGGTAACAAAGAGAAAGGACGCAAGGAGCAAGCTGCAAAAGTCAGTGATACCTATCGTTAGCTGGATATCATCGTGAGAGTGTTCATGGGTTTGTAGGGCGCGCTCTGGAATATGAGACGGCCCCGGGGCTGTGAAACGAGTCCGCGATTACTCTGGGCATCCCGACGATCTTTCCAACGCCGAGTGTTGTGTCGCGTCACGGACACGGCCGGGGTTATGTCAGCAGCGAAGTTTAGCCGGTCAGATAATACCCCGCCGCCCGTCTTGATTACTCCGCGAACAACACCATACATTAAGATTCTGTTAGGTCCAAAGTTTATTGCTGAAATAGTTTCGGTAATTATTAGTTGGTCGTATGGAGGGACCGACATTGACACTTGAAGAACGCATTTGACTCAGATCATTTTTCGCACACATCCTTCACTTTGCTACGTCTCTAAACCACAGTCTCCTCAATGCAAGATTTGTCGTAATATCAGACAGAGCTTTGACCGAGACTCGGACGTTTGTGAATAACCGGCTTTCTTAGAGCGTTTGCTATAGTCAGTCGCATGCATCATTTTCTGCGGAGCGCTGCCGCACCGATTCTATGTCAAACTGGACCTGATGTAGTCCCCTGACTTGACGTGAATGAGGATACAAACGGCAATGAGAGAATTCTTTCACATGCAAGTGGCCCCTGACGTCTTCTTTGATATACTGATAGATCCTCATGAGCACACTGAACGCAATTGCTGATTAAGTCGGGTACAAAGAGGGCTCAAGTGTGCGTTTGCCAGTGGACCATCGCTCTCACACTCTCAACTATACTGGATATGGGCCCGTTGGTTATATATCGATCGCGTCATCAGTCTCCTCCTCGCCTTTGACTTGGCCTTCTCCTTTACCTTGAGCAAACGCTTTTGTCACAAGGACATCATGGCAGGTGAGCTCGTGTCTCGGACTAGGGCCATATATAAGGATCCTTTACCACCACTAGACTTGGACTCCTTACCTACACCTCAAGGCTCCACCGCCTGACATACCTCGCTATATCATCATCTTCCTTCCTATATCGGAACCACCACCCAGAAGCTATACACACAATAATCATGTCTAGCTCCAACAACCCCAACACCACTGGCAACCTTCAAGTCCACGGATTGGCTCATGTCCGTGTACCCGATGACGCCAACATCGCCGTCTGGCACATCCTTTGCAATGGTAATGAAGTTCACTCTCCTCATTGTATCCACCAACTCTAACTGTGCCATCTCTTTAGGCCCTTTCACCGTCGACATCGCCGCCGAGTCCAGTACACCAGAAGCCAATCCCGGTCGCCCCCAGTTCCTTAAAGGCATCACTTTCAACGCCGAAAAAGAAGAAGAATGGAACAACACCGTCCTTCCCTACATCCGCCTTCTGACTTTCACCGTCGCCTCTACCACCGACACCTACTTCATCGGCGATATGCTGCAAGTCCTTCCCGACATTGACAAGAACATCCTCAAAGTCGACATGAACGGCTTTCACTGGTTCTCCGGCATCACCGACAACCGCAGTTCAAACCCGTATCTCGCTCTCGCTTCAAGTCTGCCTGAACTGCAAGAAATGGCTTTCACTCTGCATACGTCGACGATTACAGATTCCATGTTCGGTGAGAGGCAGCTTCAAGAGTTAGAACGGGTGGATCCTGAGAGGGCTAAGAGAAGGGTGACGAGGTCGGTTGCGGATATTGTTCGGAAGTACGGGATGAAATCCATCTTCGACAACAAGTCCCTGAAGCACCTCCGTCTGGTGTATATCAAGAGCGACATGGTGGCCGCCTACACTGTTGACGGCGACCCCGAGAATGTTATCGCCGGTATCAAGAATTGGTTGCTACAGGGCTTCAGGAACCAGGGCCAGGAGGTCGTGGTGGAGCTTTCACGTGCGTCTTGATTTCTGTGGAGGATCTGGAGTCTGATTGTATATATTATGGAAGTGTGATACCATGAAGACCTCTTGGCTTCTTCATAAATATAGAGGTGGAAACAAATAAACACAGTCTGCTATACCCCAACGCCTTTTGGCTCCGATGTGATGACAAAGGAAATGTTTTGTATACCCGCAGACATATGTGCAAAGAAATGAACTCGTCACCCCATTATCATTATGTATATGTCCAGTTCTGTGCCTACCGCGATACGGTGTTTATCGCGTCATCGTCATCGTCGTCCTCTACGTCTCCTCCTCGTGCGGTGTCCTCGTAGAGGCTCTTGAACCAGCTCCCTTGGCGGTCCAACAGCTTGTGCGGGCAGCCGTACTCGACGAGCTGGCCCTTGTTCATGACGACGACCTTGTCGAAGTCAAGTATGGTGTCGAGCTTGTGCGCGACGGTAATGAGGGTGTGATGTGGGAAGCGGGAGCGAAGAAGGCGTTGGACGTGGGCGTCGCTTGCAGCATCGAGACTAAGCGTCATTGTTAGTATTGAGAGAGCGGGATGGAATGTGCGATGACTTACTTGCTGGTGGCTTCGTCCATGACGACCACGGTGGATTTGTCCTTCTTGAGCATGGCGCGCGCTAAGCAGAAGAGCTGGCGCTGTCCGTGCGAGAAGTGGAGGTCTTCAACCTCGACATCTAGCGGATGCGCGTACTTGTCGACATCGCCCTTGGACACAATGATGTCCCAGAGCTGGACATCTTTCAGCGCGGCCATAATGGCCTTGTCATTCGACTCTCTCAAAGGATCGGCGTTAAGGCGGATCGAGCCGGGCAGTAGGTAAGCGTCCTGAGGTAGGCCGATGAGGCGACTGCGGATGGTTTGACGAGGAATGCGGGTAAGAGGTACGGAGTCGATGGTAATGCTGCCAGACGAGAGCTCGACCATGCGGAAGAGTGAGAGCACTAGCGACGACTTTCCACTACCGGTGCGACCAACGATGGCGACCTTCTCACCAGGGTTGATGGAGAGTGAGAAGTTTGAGATGACGGGCTCACCGGGTCGGTGGTATGCTTCGATGCTTCTGAACTCGATCTTGCCCGCGCTTGGCCAGTTGGAAGCGGGAATGTGATCTTCGCTCTCATGGTCTTCCGCGATGGCATCGGTGGTGAAGTTCTTGATCCTAGCCACACTTCCGATGTGTGTTTCTAGCTGAGTCCAGAAGGAGATGAGCAGCTTGATGCTTTGAGAGAAGAGTACGACGTTCAGTAGTGCAACACCGACATATCCTGCGCTGAGCTTTCCCTTTAGTGTGACGACGAGGACGATGAGAATGGTGGCAACAGCTGCAACGACGAGGTCCAAGACAAGCGTCAGCCATCGTTGTGCCGCGAAGAGAAGGTAGAAGGGACGCTGGCTGCGGTCAAGCAGCGCCTTGGCTTTCTCTTCGACGAAACTCTGCCATCCAAAGGCACGAATAGTCGCCAAGCCTTCCAGTATCTCGTTGAACTGAGTGTAGAGCGGCGACTTGGCTTCTAGATCGAGGAAGCGGAGTTGACGCGACGTGCGCAAGTAGAACTTCTGTACGAAGAAGACTGCGACAATGACGACAGGGAATGAGATCGCTGCGTAGGGAGCCGCGACGGCGATGAGAACCATTTGTCCGATGACCAGAACGAAAGTGGCAAAGGTGTTCAGTGCAGCGACTGGCAGCTCCATGTCGATCAACATGAGATCTTGGCTGAAGCGATTGAGCGTCACTCCGGTATCGGTGGTGGAGAAGAAGGACATGGGCGATGCGAGCACTGTATCCAGCAGCTTCTTGTGGAATGTGACACCAGAACGAGGTACCATCGTGATAATGAGCTGCCAGCAACTGACCATGAGGAAGAAGAGAGCAAGCCCACCAAGCATGGCGTAGATGCCCAGCCAGTAACCGAGTCGCTCGTTGGGGTGGTTCTCGTTGTACTCAGCCCACATCTTCACCCAAACTGTTGGGAACGAGATACCGAAGATAAAGATGACAATGGAAATGATGAAGATGATCGTCGGGATCCAACCCACAGTGCTGATGTAGTAGAGGTAGATGGCTGTGTCTCCAGTGCGGCGGTTCGCTTCCGCTTGGACGTCGTCCTCTGTGAGCTGGGCGTCGGTGACTTGACGCTCAGTGTATCGTGGCGGCTCTTCGTAGATGTGCTTCTCTGGGCGGTAGTCCCAGTCGGCGCGTCCAAGATCAAAGCCTGATACATAGCCTCCTGACTTATTTAACTTCTCGAAGGGGCCTTGTTCCGAGATGCTACCGTTGCTGTCGAGAGAGACGATATGATCACAGTAAGGTAGACGTTTGGCTGAAGAGGATGCAACAAGAACAGTGGTTCTGCATCGCTTCAATAGCCCCTCATAGCCGAAGAGGCTGTGCCAGATGCGGTTCTCGGTCTGGCCATCGAGACCGCTAAGGCAGTCATCGAGGATGATGATGTCTTTTTGGGCGTAGACTGCTCTGGCAAGCGCCTGGAAACGTACAGTGGTTAGTAATGTCCAATCATGAAAAGAGGGGTGAGTGTTGGTGTGTCTTACAATTCGTTGGCTCTGGCCTCCGCTCAATGCGATACCCTTGCTGCCGATCTCGGTTTGATCACCCTGGGGTAATTGCCGGAGGTCTTCATCTAACGCGCAGCTCCGAACAACCGATGAGTACCACCGATGATCAAATACTGCTGCACCGATAATGCTCTCCTGCACTGTGCCGTTCACATGCCATGGGGTTTGGTCGCACAAGGCGATCCGCAGGGAAGACACCTGCAGGGAGCCACCCATGACGGGCAGCTCTCCTAACACAGCTTTGAGCAGGGTTGACTTACCACACCCTACCGGTCCCACGACCATGGTAATCTTCCCGCGTGGGACGATCAT